CGCTTGGGCTGGCAGTTCCCTTTTAAGCCCCTGTGGATTACCCTGGGCTTGGGTGCCTGCCAGGAGGGGTGGGAGGAGGAAGAGGAGGATGAAGAGGAGGCTGGCAGACCAGGGACACAGGTGCCACAGGACCTACCTGTGCCCAAACACAACCCTGGGGCTCCCCAGGCACCTTTCGAGGCTCCCAGGGGTCCTGCCAGAGATGATGGGCGGGCTCGAGGCCTCACAGCTGGCACTCACTCACCCACAGGGCAACGCTCCCCAAATGTCCCACCCATTGATGGCTGCACCTCCCCTGCTGTCACACCCAAATTGTGCATGGGATGGCAGCCACAGAGGAGGTGGGTATCAGGGAAGGAGGCAGGAAGGGTGGAAAGAAGCAGGAGGAAGGCATCAGGAAAGTGGTGGCGGAGCTTGGGGTTTTATTTGGTCCCAAGGGAGGCTGGGTGGGGATGCCAGGCAAGCAGCTGGGTTGGTCAAGGTGCAGGTGGAGATGGGTGGGCTGGCCATGTTCCCCAGCCCCGTGGGCCCCTCCACGCAGCCCATTCTGCTCACTCCAGCTGCTGCAGGAAGGCCAGGAGCCCACGGTGCCACTCGTTGGGCTTGTCCAGGTAGCAGGCGTGTCCGGCGCCCTGCAGCACCAGCACCCGGTGCTCAGGGAGGTGCTGCAGGTTGTTCAGGCTGGCCTGCCCCAGCTCTGCATCCTGATCCCCGTACACGATGAGCGTGCGTGTCTGCAGAGGGGGAACACACCCTGAGCCTGCCAATGGCACTCAGCCACCCACCCCTCCTGGCCGGGGACACCCTGGGACCAGGATACAGAGGGGAGACACTTGCCATTCTCCCCTGCCACCCACAAGGGGAAACTGAAGCTCAGACTCCTGGGTGTCCTAATGTCCCATCTTTTCCCTCCTGCTACCCCATGGTCCTGCTCCCTCACCATCATGTTCCCCTTCTCCAGCAGCAATGCAGTTTCTGGCCTGTTTGGTCTTTCCCCTACCCAGCCCCGCCACCAGGGTCCCCTCCCAGTTCCCCAACCTCCCTCAATCTCCCTCCAGGCCCTACTTTGATCTGGGCATACTGCTCCACTGTGAACTTCTCAGTGCAGATGGGTGCCACAGGCACGTATGCTTTGAGCAGGTGGTTGTGCTGGAAGAGGAAGGGCAGGGAGTACATGCCGCTGAGCGATGGGCTGATCACCACAGCTGGACCCAGGCACAGAGCCTCCGAAACAGCTTTCAGGAAAGCCCCCGGTGCTGGCTGGCCCACAGGCGCTGGGGCCACAGCATCCTTTGAGCGCCCCAGCCCTGAGCCATGGGAGAGAGAAATTGCCCTGCCATACTCTCCACTGCCTTGCAACAGGGAGAAGCTGGCACAGCAGGACGCTGGGGTTACCATCCTGGCAACACAAACACAAGTGGCTGTATCAGCTCCCCCCAGCCTCCACCTTGTTTCAGGGCCGTGCTCTCCATCATGCCTTACCCGGCAGGTCGATAGCCACAGCTCGGTAGCCATTTTCAGCCAGCGTGGCAAGTGTCCGCAGCTGAAGCCAGGTGTCAGAGGAGAAGCGAATGCCATGCAGCAGCAGCACTGTCAGCTTTGGCACCTGCTGGGCCGGCTCAGCTTGGCGGTAGAAGAGGGTTTGGCCTTCCACCATGATGGTGCTCTCGGTGAGCTGTGGGGCGGCCATGCCTGGGGGGGTGGGAGAGCTGTTAGGGGGGTTGAGGGGTGGAAACAGGCCCGGTGCATGGGGTGGCCCTGTGCGGCCTAGCAGAAAGGTCAGCCCCGGTGGGATGCCCGTGCCCTGGTGTCGAGGCCTCGTGGTGGCAGGAAGGCAGGCAGGCTGTGGCACTGGCACTGGTAAGGCGGGGGTTACACTGACATCATCCTCTTTTTG